TTTGCACCAATTTCTAAATCATTTCTAGTTTTCTAAAAAACAATCAAAGACAACAAACATTCACCAGACCTGCTTTTACCAATCTCTGCTGTACAAATACCCAGTCATCCAAGCCAAACAAGTTTGACATCTAAAATGTCCAGCTTTGGGTGCTGGATATTGAAGTCTCAGCCTTACCTCTTCTCAGAGCTTATCCAGCACCAGTTTTTGTAATGCTTCTAGAGTAGCTCTACCTGAGATAGATACCCATGGTAGCTCTCTATATTTGTTGCTTTTTTCTCAAGAGGTGTTCTGTGGTAGAGCAACAAGGCTAGGGGTGCTTATAAACCCTAATTGGAAGCCCAGTTGTGCTACATACTAGTATGTAATGTTGGGAGAGTTACTTAACCTCACTAAGGCTCAGTTTCCTTGTCTGAAAATGGTGATATTAACAGTTATGACAAAGCTTCATGAAAAACAAAGCATATACTAGTTTGGGAGAAAAAAAGAATTCTAAACAGATAGGTAATTAGATAGATAACCAATTGGACAGTTCTTCTTTCTCCCTTTTCTTTGACTTGTGTACTTCATCAATTAATTACTTAGTATTAAAGTTCCCTTTGCTAATCTTTAAATGTCACACAATAGAGGGATGCATTCATCCATCATTTCTTTAATTCATTCAACAAATATTTATCAAATGTCCTCTAGGTGACAAATATTTAGCTATGCAAATAACGTTGTCTCATTAAATGAATCATTATGCAATTATTTTAAGTATATAATTGGGAAGATTCTATGATAATGTGAAAATACACTTATGATACATTTAAATGAAAAAATGACTGGATGCTAAATGTATGCACACTCCAGTATAGACAGTGCAAATAAATAATATGCCTATACATAGAAAAAAGAGGCCAAAAAAACACACCAGAATTTTAATCATGATTGTATTTAGGCAATTCAATTATAGGCAATTTTAGCTGGTTTATTATTTTCATATTTTAGTATTTTCCAATTTTCTTTAGTAAACATATTATTTTCTAGAGTTAGAAAGTACTACTTACAGAAAAAAATCTATAACTTTGTCTCTGCTGAACAAATGATTAAGCTAGTTGGAATGACTGGCCCCTGTAGGTTCAGGTTGTGCTGATAGCACAGGGTACTTGGGCATGGCTTTGGAGACCCAGAACAAACTGAGGAATCTGGTCTATGAGTAAAATGCAGAACTCGCTTCATGTTTGGGGACACATAACAAGTTATAGCATTTCTTTTCCAAGGATACAAGGGGTCCTTAGCACCCTCATCAGAAACCTACTACCCTGGACCTACAACACCTCACGCCAAGGAGCTGCTAAAGGGGCACAATGGGCACCTTTGCTCTCACCCTGACAGCCTAGCCTAAAGCTCTACAGCTAGCTGCCTGCCTAATAAGAGCCTCCTGTTGTAACTCCAACTAAGAAAGAGCCATCTGGCTCCTGACTTATCTCACTGTGTACTGTGAGGTCTGTAGCCACTTTCTTTGCCTTTCTTTTCCCTGAAGACTAAGAGTGCCTGGCACCCAGGCAAACAATTTCTAATTAAACGGAACACTAAATCTTGAAGGTCCTTAAACCTTATAACTGATCGGTGTTTCCCAAAGCATGATCCATTGAACCAAGGGCATCAGAATCTCTTGGGATGTGTTATAACAATGCACATTCCATTTTCCCACCCTAGTCCTACTGAATAAAACTTTCCAAGTATCAGGACCAGATAATAGCATTTTTAACAGACTCTCCACTGGGGCTTTTATGTCCACTGTAGTTAGAGAAACTCCAGTACAGAGGAAAGAAATCCTTCCCTGTAAACCTTTCCATCACCATTTCTTCCCATTGCACCTCAGTTACAAGGAACATTGGGGCAGCCATCTGGGGAGACTGATCACTGTAACTCAACTCCATTTTTTTAGGGTAAGTGGGTAGCACAAGAAATTGACCAAATTTTGAAACCTAACTCGCGGTGGGGTCTAGGTTTATTCAAAATGAGCAAATTCCACACAGAGTATCCATTTGGACATTCCAAGAATTCTTGCATATGTGGCTACATGGCACTTCCCAGTCGTATTATTTTACTTGAACACACTATTTGTTGGGTCCCTTGCATCAAGCAAGAGGCAGAGCATGGGAGAAAAGAACAGAATATTTCAAGATAAATATCTGGAATGAGGCTGAATTGCTGGCTGACCTGCTGACGAACACATCAGCTTCCCAACCTCAGCCTCTCCAAAATGAGATTCTCAATCCCACTTCCCACCCACCTCAACAGGTTGTTTAAAGGTCTCTACATTTTCAGGAAGGAAATAACAAAGTTGTCTATTCCTTGGTCCATGGAGGAAATTAGCAGATTGTCTCCCAATACCTCCTTATGCGGACTCCTATCAGAAGGTCCACACAGCATGCACAGAAGACATACATGCTCATTTAAAGCCCAATTTCTCAAGACTCCGCCTCCCAGCTTTTCATTTGGGAAGAGTTTATCTGAGTTCATGATGAATCTACCAGTGAAGCCATGGGGGATCATTATGGAATTATGAGGACCTCTTCATACCCCAGAAGGGCCTCAGTTTCTTCATTTCTCAAGTGGAATTGTACAAGGAAAGTTGGAAGTCCCTTTAAGTCTGTTGAATTGCACTCCTGGGATACGCTGTTCCCCTAGCCCCTTTTTCTCCCATAGCTCTCTTACTTCCAAATATTTTTATATCACCAAATCCTAACAAAGTCCTTGCACAATTTTTACAAGGTAGAAATGGAGAGAATTATTCCCATTTCTTAAATTGGAAAAGTAAAAACAAAGTAAATGCCTAGTCCAAAGTCACACAAGGGAGGAGAGATGAGCTGAGACGTGCCTCCAGACCCCCACCCTATTCTTTTCCAGCACTCCTTGCTAGATCCCAGGAGCTGTCTGTCAGTGTGCTGACACCACTCAGGAAAATGCAAGTTTTATCCTGACATCAGAAAGACAGAGCTACGATTACACTCCAGTCCCCAAGGAGGCAGAGAAATTGCTTTTAGTTGACAAGTGCATCTCCCACACAGATACCCCTCTGGTTGAATGAAAAGAAAAAATCAAGTTAAAACTCCCAAATGCTCACTTAATTTTGTAAAGCATTTTATTCTTTGAGGTAGGGGGTAGGCAGGATGAGAGAATTTTGCAACTCTAAAGTCTCGACAGGGTGGGGCATGATGAATAGTAGAAATTAAGGGAACACACAAAAAATGTCAAGAATAAGAAAAAGTGAGAAGATAATCTTTTACTTTTGTGCCATAATCAGTGAGATAAAATTGAGCTATCTGAAAAAAAAAACTGGAGAGAACTGTAGTGTTTTTATGCTTTTTAAAAACTGCAAGAGATTCAAGTCACTGAGATTTCCATGATAGATGAAAATTTTGTGGCTTACAGTAACAAGTGTTTGAGGGATGAGCAGTGTGTAGGGGAATCATCCACTTTCATGTGTTACCAGAGACCACCAACCTTGGGAGCAGAGAAGTACTGCCCCTGGACTTTACTAGCTCTGGAGTTCATCAATGCAAATCAGTTGTCTTTGTGTGTTTAGTGTGGCAGCTCCCAAAGTGCTCTCATACACATTTTCACATCTGAACCTTACACAGCTTTGGGAAGCTGGCAGAATAGATATTATTTTATTTCCTAGATGAAGAAGCTGAAGTTTGACAAAAGGAAATGACTTATACAAGGTCACCGTCTTAAAAAAAAAAAACCTGTACTTGAACCACTGTTTGTGCCTCCTTCTTCTGTGCTGAACTCCTCAAATTACACATATCCTGACTGAAATCTGGTCTTTGGACCTTATATACCCTTAGTCCCAGAGACAGAAGATTTTTCCTTTGCTGAAAATCCAAAGCACTTATGAAGCCTGGAAATCTTCTCAATTAAGAACATTCTTATGTTTAGGATATGAATTCCAAAGTATTTAGGATTAAAAGAGTCATTTCTGGGATATACTTCCAAATGGAAAAAGAGAGATATAGAGACAGAGACAGAGACTAGACAAAGGCACAGAGAGACAGAGAGACAGAAAGACACAGGGAACATAAATGTAGAAAATTGCTAACAAGGGTATGCAAATGGTAAATTTAAATTTATTTTAGTTGGTCTGTAAAAACATAAAAATTACACATATTTATGTGGTGCCATGTTATTTTTAATACATGTATATACACTGTGCAATGTTCAAGTGGGGGCAAGCATATCCATCTCCTCAAACACTTATTTGTTTGTGATAAAAGCATTCAAAGTTATTTCCTCTAACCTTTTCAAATGTACAGCACATTATCATTATCTGTAATCTCCTGGCTGTAGAATGACACACTAGAACACCTTACTCCTGTTTAACTATAAATTAGTACCCCTTGAGCAACCTTGTCCAAGCCCTCTGGAGCTTTCCCATACACTCCTCAGCCTCTATTGATAAGCAGCATACTGCCTTCAACCTTTAAATGTGATCCATGTTTTAATATTCTGTCCAACTATGTATTGTGCCATTCTTTGAACTTCAAAAAAGTTTGATAATACAAAGTGGAGTGGAATCTCCCACTAGGCATCCACCTCACCTGGCTGAGTTAACATCTCGGTTCCAATGGTGCATCATCCTCTCCAACAGGGCTCCACTTCAGGAGTCGGACAGGCTGTCCCAGCCCCAAGAGCAAAGTGGGGCTGACTCAGCAGGAGGGGAAGGTCTTGATATCTTTGATGGACTTGGGTGTCAGAAAATGGCTGCATATACAGAATGGGAGTTTAGGGTGAAGGGCTTAGTGACAAGGCAGCTAAATTAGAGTCCTACCTAAAAAGGGAGTCCCCAGACAAATTCCACATAGAGCTGGAAGTTTTTCAAAGGTAGGGGATTTTTGAAAAAAAATCAATTTGCTTATGGGGCTGGAAGTGTCATTAGAGATAATCTAGTCGAATTTCCTCACATCACAAGGGAGACACCAAGATCCAGAAAAGGGAACGTGACTTACCTAGCAATCTCCTAGCAAGTTAGTGGCTGCAGTGGGACGGGAAGCCAGATATCCAGACTCCTAGTCCAGCGCTCCATCCATTATCTCCCACTGCCATCCCACCTGGAGTTCGGGAGTTCTTGAAAGGTCATCTGCCCACCCTAGGGCTTGCTCTCTTCAGACCAGCATTGCACTTGGGAGATTTGCAGTCAGCCACAGTCCCTGCCGCTAGGAGCAGAGACAAGCGCCTGAAGATGGCACCTGTCACATCCCATTGGAATGAATGACCTCCCTCTGAAACTGAGAAGGGCCCGGCAGAATTTGCAAGCGGCACCCTGAGAGCAGAGTCAATCTGGCCCTAGCGGCTGGTGTGCCATGGACATTGGAGGCAGAGGAAATAGCAGTAAAAGTTCTGAGCACTGTTTGCTGGGGGTTTCCACCCCTCTAGGAGCAGAGACAAGCGCCTGAAGATGGCACCTGTCACATCCCATTGGAATGAATGACCTCCCTCTGAAACTGAGAAGGGCCCGGCAGAATTTGCAAGCGGCACCCTGAGAGCAGAGTCAATCTGGCCCTAGCGGCTGGTGTGCCATGGACATTGGGCGCAGAGGAAATAGCAGTAAATGTTCTGAGCACTGTTTGCTGGGGAGTTTTCCACCTCTCTTGGACCTCAAGTGATTTATTGATTACTTTAGGGGCAGCCATTCTGGCTCATTGGTTTAGCTGCCATTACCTGGGGGTGGGGGCAGTCTGCCAGCTGCTCCCCCGGTCCATCTGCTCACAGGATTGGTTCATGGGACAGCTTAACTGGACCCTTGCAAGCCTGTCGGGATTAATGGCATTTGACTGTAGATCATGAGAAATCACATCAGAAGCTTCAGGTGGGGGGATGGAGCCAGCAAGATGAGTGCAGAGGCGAGGGAGGGAGAAGCCCAAAGGTGGGGGATGATAAAGGAGGGAGAAGGAGAAGAGGAAACCACAAGGAAGGAATTCTCTTGCTCACTGACTACTGACATTTCTGAACCTATAGCTTCTCTCACTTTCAATGGTCTCCTTCGTTAATTGCCATTTTTCAATGTAAATGTCTTTCTCCACTATAACTCAATCCTAGGATAACATAATCCTTAAACATTGATGCTAGGCGAGCCTCAGTCTTTGTTTGTCCTAGCTAGTGAGCTGTTTGCCTTCTGTCTCTGTGTTTCCCGTCCCAGGCACCTTAGAGGTTTGTCATGTGAACACCAGAACTGGTCCAAGGATGAATGATGTTGAGGACTATCTTTATCTTCTGTGCATCTTTGGGTCTGGCACCTGCCCATCTCCTCTTCCCCCTTGGCTTATGGGTCCCAGCACCCTCTCCTACTTGTAAACTCTTAGGGATTATACTTGTCTTGCTCTTCCACCCTCTAGGTTCCAGAAAACTTGTCAAACTAGAAGCTGAGAGGCAATGTAGGGAGCTGTCATCAGAGATAGATCTGCTGAGGCCAAGAAAGCAGCCATGCTGCAGAAGAGCGGCTATAGCTGGGGCCAGGTCAAATAGCTGGAAGGTCACTTGAGACATCCAGGAAGCTGTGTGAGCATATCAGAGAGCTGAAGACAAGGCTAAAATCACCAAATCTCTTGCCATAGGTGGAGGAAGCATCTGGCCAGATTACAGAACTCTGGGCCCCCAGGACCTTAATAAACTTCAAGTTTCTAAGCGACTGTGGACCCTAACTGTCTTCAAGGCCAGCTCTGCTGTAGAAATTTCCGCAACAGGGAAGGACAGATAGTGCCGCCAATTTATCCTTCAAACTACACACATTGCTGTTCTCAGAGAATGTCTCTCAAGTGTACTCAGTGGTACTGAGATGCCTTCTAAATGAAGCCAAAGTATGGTGATGTTAGTGTCCAAGGCCAGGTTCAAGAACCGAATGCAGAAACATGGTCCCACTGTTTTATTGTCCTTCCCTCTCACCCCAAAGGATGAAGAATCAATCTTGTCTGGGGTTGGCCCTTGTCACTGCTGTTCTAGAGCTCAGCCCCTCTTGCTGCTGCTACCTCAGCCACCAGGGAAACCTGTCCTCCAGCCTCTGCCCTCCTCCCTTCGGACTATGAACATCTTAACCTTCCCCAAATCTTCCCCTGCCTTTGGGGCAATAAGGCTTTTCCAATGTGTGGTCTCTACCATTCAACTCAGTATTTTACCTCTCCCCAATCTGCACCAGCTATGGAAGGTCCTCGTAGATTCCTAGGTCTAGTTGCAGTGGCTCCCTAGCAGTTCTAAGTCCTCCTGGCAGCTGCCCCATGGTGCCTTTCTCCTTATTGAACAAAAGCCTGTCTTCTCTAGGTGGAACCTCCCAGATCTCATTTTGCAGATTTCTTCTTGTGCCTCTTCAATAACCTGCTTATTCATTCTCTCTTTCCCTATGGGCTTATTTTTCCCCATGAGCTCTCAGAGCCACTGAAATGGTCCTGTAGGAAAACAGCCACCACCACCCCCAGTGCTGTTCTAGCTATTGCCCAGCTTTCCCTCTCAAGCTCAGTCTTTTTTCCAATTTTTATTTTTTATTAGAGCATGTTCACAGCACATAATTCCTTGGTGGGAGGTGGTACATGTACATAACACATCTTCATTCGTTTTTCTTCCCTGCTCCACTCCCCGCTCCATCTCTTGGTCTCCCTTCCCTTTTACAAAAGATCTATCACCCTCTTTCATATTATCAATCTCCCATTTTGCTCTCTTTATATTTTGACTTTATCATAAACAGAAAGGCTAAAAACCATCTGATATTTAATCTTGTATGTCTGATTTATTTCACTTGGCATTATAGTCTCATTTTCATACAAATGACTCAAGCTTGCCCTTCTTCATTACAGAGTAGTACTCCATGGTGTATAAATACTCAGCATGAATCTTGAGTGTCTTTAAAGTGCAGTCTAGAATGCTCTCCTCACTTTTCCCCATATACTCCTTTCTCTGTCCACAGTGAGATGGCTCCTGCCCCTGCACACATATGTAGGAACACTCAAGTCTTCTCTGTACAATTACCAATATCCTTTTGGAGACTTAATTGAAGGGTCACATCTCTGCAGAATCCCACGCCCGCCGTGAAACTTGATTTATTCAAACTGTCCTTTCTCTTGACTCTGAAAACACTGTACTGCAGTAGGATTCTTCCTATTTCTCTTCCCCTCTCTGTGTTCTGCTCTGGTACTCCAAATGGGAGCATCCCTCAAGGTCTTGTCCTTAATGCTTGATTCTCTTATGGGGGAGCTCATTCTCCCTAATGGTCTTTATCTCTCTGGATCACTCACAGTGCCTAAAATAACATTTCGTGTATAGTAGACATTTAATTAATGTTAACTTAATTGACTAACATTTGTTAATTGCACAGGGCCTGATAAATAACAAATCTTTGGTAATGTCTATTATTGGGTTTTACAGTTTGCAAGCAATTCCTGTGTATTTACCTGACTTTTTCCTCATAATAACCTTGTGAAGTTGATTCTTTCTTATACCTATTTTTCAAGATGAAAGCGGTGGAGTGGAGCTGACATTTGTTTTCTGCCTATTCTGTGCCAAGTGCTTTATACACATTTTAATTTAATTTTCACAAAAGCGCTATGAAGTAGGTGTTCTTAGCCACATTCTACAGATGGAAAAACTGAAGCTCAGAGAGGAGTCTAAGATCACAAGGAGTATATAATTTGCTTCCTCTGTGTTTCATTGTTCTGTAAATTTGATCATATGAAGTCTACCAAGCAATACCGGAGAACCATATAAAAGGTATTATAGAGTGATCTTATAATTATTGTTTATATATAAGCTTTTTTGGTTTGTGTTTCTGTGAAGTTTAATGTCAGGCATAGAAAGAGCTGAAAAGGAAAATAAAGCCTTTCTATTTATAAACACTCTCTGCTTTTCCTGTTGCATATTATAATAAGAAGATGTGATTATTGAGTCCTTACCATGTGCCAGGCATTATGCTTAGTGCTTCACATGTATGTTTCACTTAATGTGCAAAATAACCCTATGAGGCAGGGGTTTTATTATACCCCAATCTGCACCTAAGGTAATTGCACTTCACAGAAGTTAAGTGATTTGTTCAGCGGCCCCCAGTTATTTTGTAAAGTAATTGAAGTTTTAAGTCAGGTTGGTCTGACTCCAAAGTGAATGCTTTTTCAGTGATACCAGCCTGCCTTTCTAAAAGAATAGGGAAACCAAAGCTCAAAAAAAAACTGAGTGACATCAAGTCTCCCAACTATTTTCACACTTTGTGCCAGCTACTTGCATCTCTTTGTTGAAGGGACTGCTTTGTGTTATCAGTAATCTTTCATTGTCTGTGGTCTCTCTCCTCAACTGCATTGTCAGCTGGCCATACCTCTTTAGATACCCCCACAGAAGGTTCTCACTAAATACCTGTCAATTGATAAGCATGGGGCTTTCTTCAGTGGAGAGAATTATTAATAAACCATCAGGCTTTGACAAAGCCCTTCTCATCTCCAAAGGAGTTGAGCCCTTGGTGCTTAGAAGACGTATCAGTTCCTCGCCCTCCTGCAGCTTGAAGTCAGGAGCCCACATGCCCCGCCTCTGCACAGCATCCATTCTCCAGGGAGCCTCAATAGCGTCAGAATCATTTCACTGAAGGCTGAATTATGTGTGTGACTCTGGGAGGGTGAGGTCCCAGGAAAGAAGGAGAAGACTGTGGGCTGAGATTCTGCATGCAGATGGACCCTGGGGATGTTTCTCACCATCTGAAATGATGTGTCAACCTCTAGGAGCCACACTGTAGAAATGGCTCTAAAGACTGATTGTTACTGTCATTTTTGAGAATATTAATAATCACTCATATTTGTACAGTGAACTTTCATTTACGCAAAAGGCTTCTGACCAAGATTTCATTATTTTTAGTTTGTGCTGGCCTTCTGGAAAAAAAGGACACCATTTTAGGCTTCAATATTCCCCCCCAAAATAATTCTCTGTCCAGCTTTTGGAGTAGGAAACAGCCCTAGGGAAACAGAGTTAGCTGAGCATCTGAGATGGGGAATCTTCGCGGGCTAGAATTTAAAGCCAGAAATTGATCCTGCTGAGCAATAAAACATGCTGGATGTCTGAAGATAGATGCCCAAATGCTTTTCTTTTCTTTTCCTGTTTCCAGAGCCAGCAGGACCTGCTAACCCAGGCAGAAGCCTTAGCTCCTCTCACCATCAGAATTCCAGGTCCCTTCCCCGCAGCAATGACCTCAGGAACATTTCTGTGTAAGCTATCTCATCAATTATCTCTTCTCCTCCAGACCAATT